AAAGCAATAACACAGATTTGTTTTATCAATCCGGTTCAAATTTGATCAGATACAAAAAAAAAACACCTTAAAATACTTAAGATATTATTTTCAAGCAGTTGAAACAAAATTTGCTTCTCTTAACTAGCAAAATAAATCTTTTGCCTGCTTAGATTCTACAATCACCGCTCAGAACAGTCAATCGGTTCTCATTGCTGATGAATTAACTCGATTCCTCTAACTCTAATACTTTTCAATCTAAATTTTCTATTACATGAGCATACAAATAAAACCGTAGAATCACTGTTGCATTTTCGCTCCATACATACTCATTTTGTTGCAACGCTCAGCGGGCGCTCGCGAAAATTCTATGCTGCAAGAAGCAACTAGTTCTCCAGCTACAAAATGTGTGTATGTCTGTCTGTGCAGCACTTTGAAGGCTGTTTCGCTACGAGTTGTTGGTTGCAGCGAGCATTTATGTATGTAAACACGATATCTCAACTACTACTATAACTGTGTGTATGTGTTTTTATTTGACTATCGTTGTTGTTGCGTTGCAAAAATGCGAACAAAAGTTCAAGCTGCTGTTTGTTTTTTCTCCACGCCGTCTTCAATATTAGTTTTGGCATGCGGTTACTGGCGGCTATTGCTTGCTCGCTTGAATATATGTTTATACCTACCCCCGTTCGTGCTCTTCTCCCAAACCTTACTTATTATATTTTGCAGAAACCTTTTTCCGAGAAATTTAAATGAGCTCGCGCGCAAACTATTTTTTATGGCGACATAATTAGATTGCTACACAGATCGTTGCAAAGTTCAGCGTGGTCACGAGTTTCTTCCACCCATTTATGAGAATGACAGATGAGTTTTTGTATGTACATACTCGTACATATAAAAATATTTGCATATAGGCCTCCTTAGGCATAGATTCCATTTTAAGCACATAAAATATTAGTGTCGTAAATTTGACGAGGAAATCGAAGAGGTACACTTTAAAGAAGTCTAAATKAGAAGGCCGAAGATTGTCTTTATACTCCAGATGCCTTATATTTCGATTACCTGAAAGGTAAGCAGTAACATAAAAATACGATATTCTTTATCGAAAGGCTTGTGGATGGCAATTTTTGATATTCTGCATGTAATCTTCGAAATCAGTATGTGGCAAATTTATACCTAATTCTTGGATCAATTGAAGAAAGTTGAATATCTCTTCAATTACAGAATATGATAATCACTAGTATGATATTGTTCTCCTTCGAAGTTGAATTCTTAAAACGCACTTTAACTTGAATAAGCTATAACGGTACTACTGCTCGTGAGAAATTTGATTTTAGGAATTCTGTCGAAATAAGATGTCGAGGAGATCTTCGATGCGTGCTTGAAATTTAAAAACTGTTCTGTTGTTAACTCTGGTACCAGGTGGATCTTAGTTAACATGTCCAGAGGCATTATGATCTCCTATTCCGCCGAATAAAAATATGGTTTTTCTAAATCGATAATTATCGATAAAAATTAAAATCGAGAACGATAATTATCGATATCRGTCTTCAAATTTTCGAAATAAAAATGAATTTGACTTTCTTAACGGCGAATGATAATGAACAATATCGATTTTTCTAAAAACACTAGTTAAATTTTCTAAATCGACAAAAAAAAWTTTTYMAAAAAAAWTAAAAATCACTAACGGTAATTACCGATATCGGTCTTTCAATCTTCGAAGTTTTCTAATAAAAATTAATTTGTCTTTCTTAATAGATAATTTTTGTTATCGAAAAAAAATCTAATGGTAATTAACAATATCGATTTTCAAGACTGTGAAATGTTCTTTAAAAAAATTAACTTGGTTTTCTGATTTGATAATGATTATTGTTGGGAAGAGAAATAATCAAGAATGTTATTTAACTATATCGGGGTTTAAAAGAGCCAGGTGTTCGCTCAAGTAAATAGTAAATTGATTTTCTTAATTGATAATCATTTTTCTTGATAAARATATTAATCACAGTCGATAATTGATGGTATCGGTCTTCACAATTTCGAAATGTTGATCCAGAAATAAATAAATTCGATTTTTTTATCGATAACAATCGCTATGAAAAAACTCATCGCAAACCATAGATTCCGATATGATTTACTTAACCATTCATAAAATTTATCGATAAATATTAACTATTGCCGCCGAAAATTAACGCTTATTTTATGTCATTTTCGGAAACATGGTGAATTTCTAAAAAAGCTTTTGRAATTTTGAAATATGTAGTAGGTTTAATTATTATTATTTTTTTTTTTTCAATTTCGTGTTTATTTGCTCTTTTTAGCTTGAAAAATWTTACATACATTTTACTCAATACACCTTTAAGCTCTTCGCGTGTAAATTGTACAAAGATAAATTAGCAGCTGGCAAGAAAAATCTAAATTATTTTTCTCCACTTAACTTACTAAATTTTTGAAAATTYTACTAGAACATACCCACCACGGCTATATATCATATATCTGTGATGTCCTCCAAAGCACTGGCATTACGAACTCCGCCAGCATCACGACACCAACAACAGTACATTCGATCAGCACATTTGTGCAAATCTAAACAGAAATCAACACTTTGCTGTTCTACCAACTGTCGCTGCCGCTGTGTCTCTGACTGTTACCGCGGCTAGCTGTGGTTCTTTGTCAGTTTTGCTGTAACTGCGACTGTGCTGTCAACACATAGAGCGACAAAGTTCGTTGCCCCTAACCTAATTTTTCAATCAAGCCATCAAAGTGAATGCCAAGAATGGCAAAGTGGCAAGTGGCAATGGCTTTGGCCAAGACAGCAATGGATGCCAAGTGGCAGTGGTACGTTAAATATCTAATGGAATAATGGATGATAGCAAGTGACGAAGGCGTGCATATACGAGTACACCAATGTATGTGTTTGTGTAATACGTATGTATGTTTTCACAAGAAGTGGGCTTGGAGTCAACAAGTGATGCTGGT